CCTTGAATCAAATGAGAATGAAAACACAACATACCAAAATCTTTGGGACACAGCAAAAGCAGTGATCAGAGGCCAATTTATAGCAATAAGTGCACACACCAAGGATATGATGGACCATGGGGACCTCAGCCTCTACAACCCTGAGAACAAAAGAACTAGATGGTTCCAGGCTACCAATGCCAACCACTCGAAAAGGGATCAAAATTGGGGACCGTGGATAGAGTGGAAGGGAAAATGTGGCACAAAATTCAAAAACAAAAATGACCAGAATTACTCTTCAGATAAAGATTGGTAGAACCCTCAAGCCTATGGCCCTGGGTTATCCTTCAGGCCTGGAACTGGACTCACTTCCATGGATTAGCTCTTAGCCAAACAGCAGAAAGGCCAAAAAGCAGATCAACTACCTAGGGAGATGAACCCACATACCCTAAGGAATGCACCCCTTGGATCAATCTACCATGAGACATCAGAAGGGCAGCATTTGCATAGAGGGAAAGTTGGACAGACAGAGATGCACAGATAAGAAGGGCACAGGGAAGGGGTAGTCGATGGGAAGAAAGCTTTTTATTGTTGGGATTGTAATCAGCCATGAAACCAAATGTGCATGAACTGTTGAGAGTAAAATGAATCTGCTTTGTAAATCTGCACCCAAATCACAATTAAAAAAAAAAAAAAAAAAAAGACCCTCTCTTCTAATACCTCTGCTAGAATAGAAGGTAGTTTGTAACCGTCCTGATAAAACGCATTATCTCCACTTTTATCATTTCTGTAATTTCCCAAGCACAAAGATAATTGCCCTCTTTTCCATCTCCCCAGTCTTGCCTTATCCTAATTCCTCTTCATCTGTTGCCCAGGTCTCCCAGTTGTATAATTTTATAATTTCAGGAACATTTTTTTCTTCCATATAGTTCTTTTAGTATTTGTTTGTATCTTCAGCAAACTCTTGCACAAAATCACAAAAACATTGTCCTGTATTTTTCATAAATGAACTCTGACCAATGTTGTGATGTTGGTTTGTTTGCAAGTATTCCTTTTTTCCCATCCTCTACTAGATTCCACTAGTTCTGCTTTATTTTAATAACTGTAATCTAAAAAGAAATATGTTTTGTAATTGACCATATAAATTGCTTTTCAACAGTAACAAGCTTTGATACATTCACCTATTCCAAATTACCTTAAGCTTACTACTTGAATACCTAATATGTTGTAACATATTTTATAAGAAAATGAAATAAAAACAATTAGGAAATATTCCGTACCAGAGAGAGAAAATATAATTGATCCATCTTCCACTGACTCTGAATACCGGACCCTGTGGCCTTGATTTTCCAGGACAGTTGCAACTTCGGAACTCTAAAAATATTTTCAGAAATACAAACTTAAAACATGCTAACAATAATTTTTACTGAAGCTAATTTTTTAAAACTTAAGTTTACTAGCTTCTGTTACACCACTTTAAAGATTTGATCATAAAAAAAGAAAGTAAACCCACTCCACAGTTAAAAGTATTTTAAAAGAAGAGCAAAAATATTTCTACAGAAACACTGCATGTTTAGAAGTGAGTTGTGTACTACAGTTGTTTAGAGATAGAAATTAAAAGCAGCATTGAAGAACTAAACTACAAGAACCAGAGCAAATGCAAACTTCTTTTTTAAAAACTTTCATCTGGAACTAGATTTAGTGATGGTGCACAAAACTGGGAATGTAATAAATGCCACTGAAATGTACACTTAAAAAATTGCTAAAATGAGGAAAGAGACCTCGGATAAGCAAAGCACTATTGAAGAAGAAAAACAAAGTAGGAGGTCTCACACTGCCGGATCTCAAAACCTACTATATAGCCACGGTAGTCAAAACTGCCTGGTATTGGTTTAATGACAGATACATAGACCAATGGAATAGAATTGAGAACCCAGAAATAGATCCATCAACCTATAG